AGAAAGCGGACATTTTTACAGGCCTCCTCCTCCTAAGTCTTCCTCCTCAGTCCCCCTCCTCCTAACTCTTCCTCCTCAGTCTCCCTCCTCCTAACTCTTCCTCCTCGGTCCCCCTCCTCCTAACTCTTCCTCCTCATTCCCCCTCCTCCTTACTCTTCCTCCTCAGTCCTCCTCCTAACTCTTCCTCCTCAGTCCTTCTCTTCACAGTCCTCCTCAACCTCCTTCCCTCCTCCTCAGTCCTCCTCAAACTCCTCCTCCTCAGTCCTCCTCAGTCATCGCATGTACAGTTCCTTCTCAGTCCTCCGTCTCCTCATCCGCATCCTCTTCCTCAGAAAGCGGACAAAAACGGACATAAACGGATACAAACGGACAAAAACTCTCACGGAAATAACATTTAGATGCTTCCTCCTCCTCCTTCTCCACTCCTCCTCCTTCCCCCATCATCCTCCTCAGTCCTCCACCTCCTCCTAAGTCCTCCTCCTCAGTCCCCTCCTCAGTCCTCCTTCTTCTCAGTCATTCTCCTTCTCCTCAGTCCTCCTCCTCCTCAGTCCTCTCCTTCTCAGTCCTACTGATCCTCCTGAGTATTTTTCCTCCTCCCTCCTCCTCTTCCTCAGTCCTCCTCAACCTCCTCCCCCTCCACCTCACCTTCAGTCCTCTTCTTCCTCAGTCCTCCTCCTCAGTTATCCTTTTCCTCCTCAGTTCTCCTCAGTCCTCGCTTGTACAGTTTCTTCTCAGTCCTCCGTCTCCCCATCTGCAAGCGGACAAAAATGGACAAAAACGGACATAAACGGACAAAAACTGTTACGGAAATAAAATTTAGATGCTTCCTTCTCCCGTACTCTTCCTTCTCCTCCTCCTTCCCCTCATCCTCCTCCTCAGTCCTCCTTCTCCTAAGTCCTTCTCCTCAGTCCCCCTCCTGATCCTCCTAACTCTTCCTCCTCAGTCCTCCTCTTCCTAACTTCCTCCTCAGTCCACCTCCTCCTTAATCTTCCTCCTCAGTCCCCCTCCTCCTAACACTTCCTCCTCAGCCCCCCTCCTGATTCTTCCTCCTCAGTCTCCCTCCTAACTCTTCCTCCCCAGTCATTCTCCTCCTCTTTTCCTCCTCAGTTCTCTCCTTTTCAGTCCTACTGATCCTCTTGAGTGTTTTTCCTCCTCAGTCCTCTTCCGTCCTCCTCTTCCTCAGTCCTCCTCAACCTCCTCCACCTCTTTCTCAGTCCTCTTTTTCCTCAGTCCTCCTCCTCCTCAGTCATCCTCAGTCCTTATATGTACGACACATTCTCATTTCTCATTTCTGAAAACAGTATTCCCAATTTTTTTCCTAATTACATGATGGCGTTTATTCAAAGGGCATATACTAGGATAGACCTCTGCCTCGGTCAAAAAAGCACCCCACGGCTTCCCTCGGCCTCGGTCTTAACTAAGATGGCACTCCTCGGCCTCGGCTATTAAGCTAAAAAAGTACCCCTCGGCCTCGCCCTAAGCCGAACAGTGATCCTCATCCTCCTCAATATTCCTCCTTAGTCCTCCTCCTTCTCCCCAGTCCTCATCCTCCTCCTCCTCTTCCTTCTCAGTCCTCATCCTCTTCCTCTTCCTCCTTCTCCTCAGTCCTCCTCCTCAGTTCTCCTCTTCCTTCTCCTCAGTCCCCTCCTTCTCCACAGTCCTCCTAGCCTCCTCTTCCACCTCCTCCTCCTCATTCCACCTTGACAATTTTATTTTGCCATATTTAACAGTACCTCTTTTATCTCTCCCTAGTCAGGCGGATGGCATGGTTGGAAGTTCAGACTGACAGCACCGGTAGAGATCAGAACTTTCGTCCCCCCCCCCCCCCCCCCCCCCATAATATTCAACATTAAATTAGATAGTTCCACCCTTTTAGATCATTGCTTTTCTCTATATGATAGTGTTTATGGACCATAATCTCCATGTAAATACACTCAAATAAACATAGAAGAACTGTGCAAGTAGTCAGATAATATCATTAAAGCACTTAGCATATATAAAACGTGATGAAATTGAAGTTAATGCCCAGAAATTCTACTGAATTTTTGGAGATAAATGTAGATATTTGTAGAATGTCATCCACTTTTTTCGTGGATTATCCATTCTACATTAATCTACAAATATCTACAAATATCCACTTGGCCCCCCCCCCCCCATTATGTAATCGTGTAAAACATATTATATGTAATTGTAATACAATATATTTACATTGTACATTGATGTACAAAATTTTCACCCCCTATGGAGTTTCCAACTTTAAATTTGAATTAAGATAAGTTCGGGAACATCGCGATTCCAGATACCAAACTTTAAATCGCTCTACAGACTGTTCACAATTAAATTGTGCCGGAGAAGCCCCCCTCGGCCCCACCGGAGACCTTTTCTGGTGTTCCTAGGGATCATATAGTCCGACGTTATCAATGTTTGCGCAGTTGAATGTTACATACAATTCCCTTCATAATTTATTTATTATTTTATTCAATTGAACCAATGATAACACATTCTTAAAGATACTTTGATTAATATGACACAATTTAATCACAGTTCATGTAAAAATCAATGATAATCGTCTGATATTACATTTTGCTTCAGCATAATTCTACATTTAAGAAAACCCCTTCATGAAAAGATCTAAATTATAAACTGCAAAAGAGAAAGTGCTCCTCTAAAGGTGGTAAATGATAGCTACAAAAAGCAGAGAAAAGGAAAACAACAAGGAACTGCTGGAGTTGCAGTTATCTTTCTCACAGTAACTATCCGCACCTGAAATTGAGGGTTAGTAGGTACTAGGTAGTGGGGTTATGGAACACATTGTGAGCCTCTACTAATTATAGACAAGCTATATTATTTTAAAATGTACAGTAAAATAGCAGATTATCCTTATTATTACATCAGGGCAGCAACCAATAAACCATGTTTTATATAGTTCCCACCTTATTAATATATATGTATATAATATATTTTACTCACAATCTCCCAAGGTCATTTCAGACTGTTTGGTTGGGCCTAATGAAATTTTCAACTCTGCACAGTTCCAGTTAACTGGTGACTTGTCCTTTTTACCACACCCCATAGAGACGTATGTACCTGCTGTCTTGTCCTCGCCGTATGTGTACCTGTGGAGGCGCAAACCCTGGATTAGACTAATAAGACTGACCCCCTCTATCATCCTAACAACCGGAGATGTATTAAATTACCAATTGTTAGTTGGTATTCATGAATACCAATTTGTTTATTTTTAATGAATACACCTTAGTGTGCCTTACTTGAGGGTGGATGCGAAACATGCATCTTCATCTGTGCTGCAAGATTTGCTAGTGCCAGAAGCATCACACGCCTTCAAATCTGAAATTAATTTTATGAATCGTTCAATTAAAGCTTAATTACTTTATTTCAATAACATGTTAACATCGAACACACTAATCAATATGGATACTAGTAATTACTGATAGACAAGGCACCTATACTAGACATCAATCATTGAATCTCAGAAAAATTGAATTTCGCACCAACCGCCGGAACTGGAAAATTTTCGCGGTTGCCGGAATAAACTCTTTTTCAGAACCGAAACTACAATCATTTTCAAAACGTTAAAACTGTTGCCCAAATTGTGTGATCTGAAGATCTCACTTACCGAAAGTTTTTACGATACCAGCATTAGCCTCATCAGTAAGAGTAGATGAGATACATGTGCTACATTTGAGGGAGTACGCTACGGAGATCAGCAGGGCGGTGATAAGCAGCTTCATGTTATCTATTCAGCTATTGAGGGTGTCAATTAATTACTTAATTAATTAATTACTTAATTAATCGAGATAGTTGGTATTTAAGCTGTGGTGGTGTTGGTAGTGTATACTCTATATTATACACTACTTCATATAAGTAACTGGAGTCTGCCCTAACAAACTCCAGTAATTGAAACGATAAAACGGTGTCACGGTATTTTATGTCGCCGATAGCAGGAAAATACGGTACAAGAAATAATTTCTGATGATAACAATTATATTGCGCTTATTTAAGGATAAATTGCAATGGTTATCTAATGTTCCTCGTTATATTAATTAAAATGCATCAAAGAGATTTTTAAAAGTCGAGTGGATTATCATCCACATTCCACAGCAACCAAAACAAATTAAACGGTGGTCTTAACTGTCTCAGTAGTGAGAGAAATGTATTATGGGCCAGTTTGGCGAGAAAAGTCGCCGTAACGGGACAGTTCCGTCCTGCTAGGGCCACTATCCGTATGTATATATAGCTGCGTCCTAAAGATACAACAACAGTCATAATTATAGGCGTGGTACACTAACGAAACTAAAGCTATATAGTATGCGTTTACCCGGATACTGTGGCAGCAGCAAGTAGCCACCACATTGGTTACTTGCTCCACTTTTCCAAATAAGCCGCTAGTTCCCGGTAGTTTCCGTGTCATTGTTGTTTTACTGCACAACTTGTGCAGCACAAGGCAAAGTTGTGCGGCAGGGATTTGATGATCACGTGGCAACTAGTTCCTGATCACGTGACTTTTTCCTCCTGGTGTAAACTCGCACAAAATATCTTACATTATCTGTAGGTTGAACTCAGGTCAGACAAGTATGATATATGAGCGGGTAATTAGTGGCCCTTTTAACCTTATATCTTAGTTATATAAACTTCTTACCTTATATCTAACTCCTCATTTACCACGGAAAAAGGAGAATAGCTGAAGGGAAACGACTAGATCTACCAGAAATAAATATAACCACATGGTCGATTGTACTTAGTTAAGTGTGGATAACTAATTCTACATTTAGGAAGTAGGAACACTAGCAACGATTATTTATTTGTTTTATTATTATAGTATTATATTATTTTATATTTCACGCCGGACCTCGTTATCACCTATTTGTGTTACCGTGTTGTCATGGTAACTGTGTTGTCATGGTAACTGTGTTGTCATGGTTACACTATTTTTGTTACACTATTACTTCATATCAGTTGATCATGACTTTTCAATTAGGTTAGATATGAACGAAGCAGCCCTGTTTGCTCTGCTATACAGCACTTATTTTCTCTCCTACATCTCCAGGAAGAATATTATCTTTATCGCACCTCACCTGCTGCAGTTTGGATTTACTAAAAGTGATTTGGGTGCTTCTCAGAGCTCCTTTACTGCCTGCTATCTTATCAGCAAGTTATCGGTCAGTTCTTAACTATTTCCCTTTCATATGTTTTTTATTGAACAATTTTTTTAAAGATTGAAAAATATTTAATTTGGATTACCCGTAATCGGTAGAACAGTGGGTCAAATGGAGCGTAACCCTCGTAAGATTTAAAGTAATTTCTGATAAATAAATAAAACGATAAGTTTTATAATAATATGTCCTTTCAATAGATGTCGATTCCCGTGGGGAGTTGATACATATTTGATTACGTTTTAGGTGGCGCCTCTATTCAGCAGTTTGAAGTGGTGATACATATTTGTTTACTTTTGAGCAGGTTAAATAATTCGGGACCTTCACAGGGGGGTAACAAGAAGGAGAACTTACAAGTGTTACAAGCGTTCTATAATACAAAATTTGCATCACATCCTTAACCTGCTGAGCAGAGGCGCCACTCAAAAGTAAACAAATATGTATCACCTCTTCAACCTGCTGAATAGAGGCGCCACCTAAAACGTCAACAAATATGTATCACCTCCCCACGGGAATCGACATCTATCATACATGTATTTAACTTCAAACCAACTGCCCACAAACACTAATAACCCTCGATTTTATCGACTGTTATACCCATCATTGGACTAATGAATAAGGATTAGCTGTTTTTTTTTCGATGAGAGTCGCTTAGACATGGGCACCGTATTGTTTAAATTATTTAGTTATATTGTATTCAATATCTTTGTCGCATAGAAGCGGGGTAGTAGGTACTGTGTTTCGTTTCGTTTCATTTTCGTGTTGAATCTAACGCTTATTATATTCATGTGTATATATATATTGCTTTGTCCACACCTTCACTCGGTTGTTTATTTCAGAGCAATTTGATTTGTAACTGGGCGTCACCACGACTGGTACTGAGTATTGGTATTACTACTGTTGGGTTTATCAACATATTAGCGGGTTCGTATTTATTTGCAAATATTCTGTCATATATAGTTCTGTCTAGATGAGGTTTGAAGTTGGCTCAGGTGTAACCAATACACTAAACCAGTTTGTTAAATGCTAATGCCCCCCTCCCCCACACCCGCCCCTGCTAATTAGATACTAATATAGATCACTAATATATAATATAATAGGAGTGTTGGAGGCACCACAATACATGTGGGCTCTGTGGGGTCTGAACGGGTTATGTAGCGGAGCCTGCTGGCCCCCTATTGGCAACCTCATAGTCTCTCACTTTCCTCAACATAAGCGAGGTATTTTTTAACGATTGCACTGGTTTTCTACTTACTTTGACTTGCTAAGATACGTTTACTTCTAAAATTACGTATCAAATCATCTATTTTTATCTATACACTGTTATTTTTAAGGGAGAATATGGTCGCTGATTTCAAGCAGCATGAACGCAGGATCTACAGTGTCCCCCCCGCTAACCCACTTCCTGGTTTATCACACTTCTTGGAACTTATCCTTTACTATCATTGGATTTGTGGATGTGATTATCGGAGTTGTTTTATTTGCTGCTCTCCCTAGACATAAGGGAACTAATAATTGTACAGAAACTAGCAGCTCAACCTCTGATAAGGTGTCGCCGTGGAAATGGGACATGCTGGTCAACAAGTTCATGTTTGCTATTTGTTTTTCTTTTATGATCCTGACGTTTAGTCTGATAGCTATATCTACGTGGGGGCAGATTCTGTTTATTGAGAAGTTGGACACGGACACCTTAACTGCTGGATTTATCGTCAGTTTGTTTGAGATTGGCGGGTTTTGTGGCGCTACTGCTAGCGGCTTTTTTGCGGACTTCGTGGCAAGAAATTTTAAAACGAAGGGTAGTCCTAGATCATATTCAGGTGTGCTCTGTACTGGAATATTCTGCGTTTCAATAACAACATTGCAATGTGTACCACCCTCAACTCTACTGTGTAAGACATGTGCTATCGGATGTGGTTTTGGGCTCTACGGAACGATGGCCATATACGGACTGCTGACTAGAGAATACGTTTCCAAAGAACATTCTGGAACTCTGAACGCTGTTATGGGTGTCTGCTCTCAACTTGGTGGCTTCTTTGCAGGATCTCCTCTCGCTGGATTCTACGAAAAACATGCTATATCAGATGGCTTTTGGATAGTTGCTTATGTTGCACCTGTGGCATTTGTGTGCATATGCTTGCTGACGTTTGTTGAGGGAAAATATAAAAAGAAAGATGATTAATTATTAGCTGGAAGAGATGTTTAAGCTATTTTAATTTTCTTCAAATAAAAGGTCTTTTTAGATGCTGTAATTTGTATGCATAGCCTATACATCAGTGTCAAATGACAAATACCACCATGTATATCACTGATAAGAGTTGACTGTAGTCACTGCAGTTAAAACAGGAAATGAGACCGCTTAATTTCCTGATCCATGGCGTCTCCTACAATATTATCATCAAAGTTATTTTATGCAGCATAGGCATAAAATAACTTTGATGATAATATTGTAGGAGACGCCATGGATCAGGAAATTAAGCGGTCTCATTTCCTGTTTTAACTGCAGTGACTACAGTCAACTCTTATCAGTGATATACATGGTGGTATTTGTCATTTGACACTGATGTCTGAAGACACCGTCGGCAGTTGGTTGTGTTTCTCCATAGTTGAAAATGGGGCAGTCACAATATACAATTTTGTTTTACGTAAGCGGCGCGTCTAGAAAATTGAAATATGAGCGCGTATTTGCCAGTCTATTGCAATTTAATTAAGAAATAAAAGTCGATCCGTACAAAAATGGTTGAATATGTAATTTATGCCAGCGGGTACACATTTTGTGTTACCTGGGGACCCCATTTTGTGCCATTGTTTGTAATCTAAATTGATCCACGTGATTTAGGCATGAGACCCACGTGATTACAGGCCGTTCATAAAAACTGAAACAATTGGGGGGGGGGGGGGGGGGGGGGGGGGGCAACCCCATTGCCCATTTATAGAACTATTTCTTGCCCTTATTGGGGCATTTGTTTGCCCTAATAAGCCATGAATGGTGCCAAAAATAATTGTAAATGATGGATATAGTCGCAAGCTATGTCTAGGGGCCATCGAAAGGCGCACAAAATGATCCAGGTTCATGGAATGAACGGAAATGAACGGAAATTAATATTCTCCACCAGCAACCCACCTCCCTCAACCAACTCGTTCACCAGCAACCCACCTCCCTCAACCAACTCGTTCACCAGGTCCAACGACGATGCCAAGAAGAGTTCCAATTCATTCACCAGTAACCCACCTCCCTCAACCAACCCCTTTACCAGCAACCCACCTCCCTCAACCAACCCGTTCACCAGCAACCCACCTCCCTCAACCAACCCGTTAACCAGCAACCCACCTCCCTCAACCAACCCCTATACCAGCAACCCACCTCCATCAACCAACCCCTATACCAGCAACCCACCTCCCTCAACCAACTCGTTCACGAGCAACCCACCTCCCACAACCAACCCTTTCACCATTTGATATGGTTTTTATATTATACGGTATTTTGACTATAATATGCAACAATAATAATCTTAGAATTTAACTCTTTTGTTTAATAATCAAATGTTATCTTTGTTTTCAAAATACCCAGCACTCAAAATAATTTCTGCTCGCTCTTGGAGAGAAGTCAGGTACGTGTGCTAATTGTACAATGTACATAATTCTGATTAGACTCTGCTGGATGAGTTTACAAAATATAATACAAAATTTGTCGCCAAATTGAATAGGTTTGTTGGAACGAAATTGGAAAAACCCTTACATCGGTTTTAGACATATGATTCCCAAACTTGGTTTGATTGGTCTTATGACCAATATTAACTCTTTCCGACCAATTTTGAACCATTCTGAGCACTGAGAATATTCATTTCCCAGCACTCAAATACAGCCAATACTTCGATGTCTCCATGTTCCAAATTTATGGATTCATCTACTGGGTGTCTGCAGTTGCTGCTGTTTGTGGAGATATAGTTGTATTGATAAGTCGCGCCATTTGAATCCGTTAAAAAGGGAAACATGGGGTGATTATATTATGATAATATGTTAAGATAGATTGGTAATTACATTTGATCAAAAATTAAATGAATAGTTGATTATTTAAATATTTTACTTTGAGGCAAAACACCTTACAGAAATATTTTTGCATATAATAATAATAAATTGAAGTTTAATAACACCACTATTAAGATAAAACTTATAATACTCAGCAGTGTTTGATCCAACTATCCCAGAAATTTACTTAAGCAATAGGTAAGGACTGGAAACATATGCTTTCGAAAATAAATCATTAAAACTAATGCAAGAATATGATACTAAAGATCGAACACCGATTATGACCAAAATAGATTATCGATAAAGTTTTTCAACTTCATTTCGGGAAAGTTTTTATATATACTAACATAGTAGAAACAACAGTTATAATTTTGAGCTAAGTTAAATCTCTGTATACAGATATTCAGGGTAGCCTAGCATGAAAAGATATCGGAAACGCTTATAAAACTCAGTTTTAGTAAAAGGTTATTTGATACGGTTTGATATAAATTTGCAAGTAAAATATTGGCAATCATGACAATCAGAAATTGTCAACTTAATATTCTTCAGAGTGGCCCAGAATGAAAGGAAATATCTTTTATTCTGGGCCACTCTGAACGCGAAACAAACAAATTGGACTCACTGTTCTAGCTTGAAGCATGAAGTCGAACGCCAATGTTGTAATATGCTTCTGGTAATACTAATAATGATTCTTATATGAAATATATCAATAATTAATATAAATCGTACGATTGCAGTATGCTAGAATGTAATATAAATATGTAGTCATTGAATATTAGCATGAAAAAGATAAACATTTATGTATTTACATGGGTGTTTAGTGTTTACTGTTTATGAATATGAATGATAATGATTATTCAAGATGATATTTCGTATCGCTAGCGGTAATGCAATCTGAAATGATTTTGCTTTTTAGAACCTCTCGATCTTTCTGTTTCGTTTAACTGGGACATGATTCTTTAACCCTTCAATGGAGTGGTGCCAACCCCAGCAGTTGTCACAAAAGTAGTCGAAACACAATCGGCTCTTACAAAAGTTTGGAGCCGAAATCACTTTGCATTTTCCACATGGTTCATCCTCGATGTATGGTTCAATTTGAATGCGTTTAGAAAATTTCGGTGCTATGATCGTCAAAAAATTTTCTTCCACAGCCTTTCTGTAGGATTCAACTGAACTAAAAGTTACTCTTCCAGAACCTATGGGATATTTGTAGCGATCTGTATCAATCTGCACATACGCCACATCATGAAAGAGCTCCTCGAATATACGACCAAGGGCTTGAGCATACAAACGACCATGCAAAGCACCAACAAACACAGTCAGTTTGTTGTTCAATCTTGTTTGTTGTTTGTAAACGGCTATATTGTCGGACACAATCCAAGGAATAACTTGGAAAGGCTTGGATGAAATGCTATTTTTTGTGAATTCATAATTATAGGTCACTGATCCGCCGTGTTGTTCTTTAGAACAATCCGCCAACAACCCAGCTATTGACGACAGGCTCTCAAAAATTAGATAAAGGAAGCTTTTAGTTGTGTTCCTTTTAGAATTAAAATTATTTGGCCACTCGACCTTGAAATCTCCATATCGGCTGAAAATAAGCTCAAGGTGCTGTTCAGATATATCCCATGGAACTCCTCCTAGGAACACTTTTTTACTATACTCGAGTGGTATACCTTCTGCCCTCGGCGGTAAATATCCATCCCATGCCAGGCAACCTCTGACCCTAGTGACTGCAGACTTTGGATTGTACTGGTAATTTTTAACAGTTGATACTGCCACTGGTGCTGTCAGTGTCACACTTTGAAAAGGGCGATGAACCTGATGCTGAACATTCCAACTTGCGTCCCAAGTTTTGTCCAGTGACAAATTCAGGAAGGTATCAAGCCTCCTAATGGTTTCCAACTCTTCGTGAGAATAGTTTGAATATTTATTCGCATGCAGTTCCTTCAGTACAGCACTCGCCGCCCCATTATCTTTTTCTTCTTGTGATACTGATAGCGATTCTAGATTGAAGGTGTTTTTGTCATTTTCTTTGCACTCGTTTTGAACTGGTCCATGATAAATCTCAGGATTAACCACTTTGGTTAACCAGCTAAAGTTGTTCATGGCAAGTGGTTGGGCTTCGCTTGAAGACGAACCATACTGAGGTCTTTCCTGCAAATACCTATATCTCCAATTCGGGTCCTGAATTGCCAGTGACCTCGCTTGGTCTGTTGGTACATGATATCCAGCTCCCGGATTTACAGACATCTCCTAATCCTGAGAGCAAACAAATTACATGAAGGTCATAAGTCGGAAGTATGTTAAAATAGTCATTGTCACTACTTAAACTTTAGTTTATATGGGGTCGTTAACATATTATTACGTAAGTCATATCTCGGCCATTTCAAATGCCCCTTTTATGCATAGCATTGAGTCATTATACTAGCGGTAAAACAGATTAACAGATCAGATTTTACTTAGTTTTGCATGGTAAATTGAATACTGTGTACTGGCGTTTGATAATAAGCATTTAGGAAACATAATACATTTAAAACTATGCCCGCTTATTAACATTAACCAATAACTAATAAGTCGCCTAAATAACAGCGAGTGCTCTCCACTTGATCATCTAAGAAAGGCCTATCTTCAAATTTTGTCCGGGCAATCCCTTTTTTAGGGTGATTGCTCAAAAACTGTATAACTATAAGAACGATTTTCAGTACGGGCGATTGATAAACGGTCGCACAATTGCAATACACACAATGAGTATGATAATACAATTACTTGTCTCACGTCGTGATCCTCATCGTCATTTCATTTGTACCGTGGCGAAAGCCGCGTGGCGGGCCCACAGTACAACGTGAGGCAAACAATTAGTATTACTGACAAGCGTTGAACTTTTATTTGACCAGCGTTGACATTTTATTTGACCAGCGATAAATTCGGTTATAGCTAGGAACAAAATTTTTCGGTGGAATCAAAAGCAGCTGATAGATATGATTGGGCGACATTGCATCTGTCCGACTCAGAAAATAGTTTATTTAGACAATAGATTATGTCGGATCCTACCGTACGATTTTCTTAAAACTTTCCATAAAGTATGGTGGTTATAGGACGAATAATCTGTGTAAGTTTGAGCGAGTTTCTATGTGCCAAGTTTAAGATATTACCTTAAACACAAAAAATATATCCAATTCGGTGGTTTTTAGTGGTTCCTAAGCATATATCTGGAGATCCAACGATACGATTTTCTTGAAACTTTCGAGATAGTAAGATAGTTTTAAGACAAATAATTTGTGCAAGTTTGGATAAATTTCTATGTGCCAAATTTGAGATATCACTCCAAACACACGAAAATAGTGCTGTCGGACAGATGTCGTGTTACCGATAGGTATTACTCCCTTTTGTTACTATTAGAAACAACTTGAACTTAAAAGTCGATATCGATCGAGAAAATTTAAATCTAAACACAAGAAGCATGTGGAACATGTTTTGGTCGGATAACATACCCTCATGTAATATTCGGCAACTTTGGCTCACCACTGAACCAAAACAAATGCAATAGGTGGAAGTCACATTATATTTATGAAAGAGTGTGATCTTGCTTCCAAGTTCTAGTGCATATTATTTAGTAGCCTTGTGTAGAATTTACGGACTCTCACGGTTGCCGGTTGCGGCAGAACAAAGTAAACGGGATATTGATCAATGATTGATCGAAGTAAACTGTAAAGATTAGTAAGAAATTATCTCAAATCAAGATATCACAGGATCGAATATCCTCAATAATCTTATAATCTATCACCCCAGGGATATAAACACACGTGATGACACTACCTCCGCAAAGTTATTTGCCATAATTATAAGCATACACAACACAACGACTGCGCCGCGCAAATTTCCCCGAGTGCTGTCAAAGCCCAAAGCACGACCGATGTTTCCATTTCACAACACTAACCTACTTGAAATTGAATTATGTAGTAAATGTATTCACACTCGTCTTATAAATATAAATATAATCATCGCAATAATTGTACAAATTTTTGATGTAAGGCTGGAAAAACATTTTCGCTCAAAAAGTTTCCCGTTTATACATTATATTTATAAATAAATAATGGGCTCATACATATAATAGTCATATTAATGGTTTATAATTGAATGTGATATCGTACGCGCTTATATAAAATCTCGACAGAACGCAATCCAATTTGATACGCATGAAATTCAAATAGTTACATAACTTACCTGGGGACCCCAATACCCAAGCTATTACATATTAGTATTCTATTTATGTTCATAATTTGCTCTATCCAGAGCCCTAATTGCGCTTGCAGTAGCGCGCGTCCGCAGTGCGCAGTGGTGCGAAAGCACATTAGGTGAAAGCCCAGGCTATAATGTTCATGATAAATGAAATGTTCATGATAAATGAAATGTTCATGATAAACATA